GTGCCAAGGGGACGCGCTACGGAACGTGTCAATGGACGTGCCCGGGGACAGGCCAGGGGACGCGCCGCGCGAAGTGCCAAGGGAACTCGCCACGGGACGCGCCACGGAACGTGCCAGGGAACGTGCCAGGTTGCAATGCTGAGTGTATCGATCTTGATGTACCGTGCCGAAGGCTGTGCTGTGCTGCGCCGTGCTGAATTGCGATGTGCCGTGCCGCAAGTGTGCTCTATAGCGTTGTGGATCGAGTCCTCCTTTGCATCTGAGTCCTGACCTAACTGATCTGGATCTTAATCGCAAGCTGCCCGCGCACGTAGTATCTGCCCCAGAGCTAATTGACAGGGGGACCTGCTAGGAGGACGCGCCGCGGAACGCCACAAGGGACGCGCCAGGGGACGTGCTAGGGGACGTGCCATGGGAACGCACTGTGGGACGTGCCAAAGGGACGCGCTACGGAACGTGCTGGGGACAAGCGTTTCGCTCGAGACATCCTGACCAAATCCTCACGCTAGACATCCGCCTGGGCAACCTGGAAGCGTGAAGAATAGCGTTTCGCTCAACGCATCCTCAACACATCCTCATGCTAGACATCCGCCTGGGCGAACTGGACATGTGAAAACAAGTGGCTCGCTCGAAACATCCTCAACACATCTTCATGTTAGACGTCCGCCTGGGTGACATGGGCACGTGAAGACACGCGTTTCGCTCGAGACGTTCTCAACACATCCTTATATTAGACATCCGCCTGGGCGGCCTGGGCATGTGAAAACAAGCGTCTCGCACGAGACGTTCTCAACACCTGTTCACGCTAGACATCCGCCTGGGCGACGTGGACACGTGAATCCAGGCGTCTCGCTCGACACATCCCCAACACACCCTCATGCTAGATATCTGCCTGGGCGACCTGGACACGCAAAAACAAGCGTCTCGATCGAGACATGCTCCTGGGCAACCTGGGCGCGTGAAGCCATGCGTCTCGCTCGAGACATCCTCAAGATCAGGGCACGTGGAAACAGCCATTTCACCTGAGGCATCACCTGAATTCTGGCCCCCTGGAGAGGAACAGTCTACAACACAAAACAAGCATTTCGCTCGAGACATCATCAACACATTCTGACAACAACAAGCGTTTCGCTCGGGACATCCTCAAACATAATTTCGCTAATCCTCTCCCCACCTCGTTATTTACAGCAAGTGGTTTCGCCGGCCGTCGTCCCGTCAATTCCAGGGGTAAACCTACCAAAAGAGAACCCTGGGCCAGAGCCATTTCCAGTAACATATGGATTTACATCACCAGTCTGCAAAAATGCCTGCGCCCGCGTTCGGGCATTTTTTTGTAGCATGATGGACCCACGAACCGGGAAAGGGATATAGACATGTGCAGCATGGTCACCTTTTCACGATACCCAACTGGGCGACACCTCACGAAACATCCCACGAGACACCCCGCGAAACATCCCACGAGACACCTCACGAAACATTCCACGAGACACCTCACGAAACATTGCACGAGACACCCTACGAAACATTCCACGGGTGTGCGACTGGGTGTGGTCGTGCTGGGGTGTGGTCGTGCTCGGGTGTGGTCGTGCTGGGGAGTGGTCGTGCTGGGGGGGTGGTCGTGCTGGGGGGTGGTCGTGCTGGGGGCTGGTCGTGATGGGGGGGTGGTCCTGCTGGGGTGTGCTGGGGTGTGGTCGTGCTGGGGGGTGGTCGTGCTGGGGCGTGGTCGTGCTGGGGCGTGGTCGCGCTGGGGCGTGGTCGTGCTGTGGTGTGGTCGTGCTCGGGTGTGGTCGTGCTGGGGTGTGGTCTTGCTGGGGTGTGGTCTTGCTGGGGTAGGGTCGTGCTGGAGTGGGGTCGTGCTGGGGTGTGGTCGTGCTGGGGTGGGGTCGTGCTGGGGTGGGGTCGTGCTGGGGTGTGGTCGTGCTGGGGTGGGGTCGTGCTGGGGTGTGGTCGTGCTGGGGTGTGGTCGTGCTGGGGTGTGGTCGTGCTAAGGTGGGGTCGTGCATTTCGCTCGAGACATCCTCCCAAAATTCAAAGAAATCCTAGAACAAAACAAACGAATTAGTCGAGACATCCTCGAAATTCCTGCGCGCGGGACGCGGCACGCGCGAGACATCCTCGGAATTCCTGCGCGAGGGGCGCTTTTCCGCGTCGCGGTCGGCTCTGCAAAACCAGCGCTTCGCTCGAGACATCCTCAACACATTCTGAAAAAAAGCGTTTCGCTTGAGATATCCTCATCTCTGCAAAACCAACGATTCGCTCGAGACATCCTCAACACATTTTGAAAAAACAAGCGTTTCGCTCGAGACATCCTCAACTTGTAATCCGCCGGCGCCCTTCGACCTCAATATTTATCAATGAAAAAATCCGCCGGCGCCCCTCAGTTGAGGCACCGGGGACAGATTACCATCCTAAAAGAGAACCCTGGGCCCACGCCCTTTCCGGGAAGAAAACACCATGAACACAAAGTGTTCGACATGTTCACTGACTTCTGTCAAGCAGGCCTCTCGCGCCGCATGTCGAAAATATTCAAACGTCCTTTGCGCGCGAGCTTGGGTTGGGGGGGCGATCCGTGCCAAATACCACCGTGCAGGCCCCTTTCGCGCGTCAGCCGCGCGCGCATATCAAACTCCATGTTCAACCTTACCCACGGACGCGAAGACGCCATCATCGTCGTCGGCGTCATCAACATCGGCGCCGTCATTGGCCTTGCCGGCGTCGTTGCCATCATTTCCACAAGCATCGCTACCAACATCATCGTGTCTATCCTTGTCGACGTTGCCGTGATACCGCGCCTGCCCAAGTCGCCGACTCGCACTGAACTGCCCGCTGGGAGGTACCCAGGGGTCAACGCCACCGCGGCCGCGTCGGTCGCGCCAAACTAACTGATTGCTTTGCGCGCGATCATGCGCGATAGTGCGGCCGCGGCGATGCGACAGCCAGCGCCGAGCAGTCGTCGCTTTGCCGCCGCATGGGTTTCGCAGGCCAAGTTGCGGGTGGGTGGGTGAGATGTTTGCGCGTGCAATGGGGTTGACAACTTCGAACTCAGCATGGTGAAATTCACCACATCGATGCGGTTTTCCTAAGAACGAATTCGGATCGACCGCCCTCCTCAGTCGCATTTATACGTCATCCTGGGGATGTACAATTTACATGCGATTCTGGCCCATCGTTCTCTCCGCATGTGAGCTCGCTCGTATCATCCCAACGAGGCTGGTTTCGACTCCCCCTTTCAATCCTTGTCACGAGAAACTACGCGCACACGATGATCAAGAAATTGCACCACAGAGAAACATCAATCAGTGGATGTTTTGAACTTCGTGATATGGATATTGAGATCGATTGTAAGATCTATAATGGGACCAGTAGCAAGGACGACCATAAGGTCGACCGTGAGACCGAATGTGAAGTCGAGCCAGCGAGATAGATCGTGAGATCGCTCGTGCGATCTATATTAGTGGGATCGGTTGTGAGATCAATAGGGAACTGTGTAATGAGATCGATGGCGAGACCGATCGAAAAAAATATCGACCAAGAGCCGGGGAATCGGGAAACCCCGCAGGTGTCGTAGGGATTTCAAGACCGCTGCTCCAACAACATATGAAACCCTACGGTGTTGGAGCATTGTGTTTCGAATTCCTGCAACAAACCAAACGTGTTTTCAGCGATTTCATCAAGTGCGACCGAACGGGCCTCTCGCGCGCACACGTCGAGATCATTCGAACGCCCTTGCGCGTTTGCTGGGGGGTCGGCGGGTGGGGGGGCACGATCCGCGTCAAAATAAAAATGTGGGCCACCCGCGTCCGTCGGACGCGCGCGCATGCCGATATTCTTCCAAAATCTACGCTCTATCATCGTCATCGGCGTGATCAGCTCTGGCACCGTCGATGGGCCTCATCGTCATCGTGATCACCAGAACCCCTATCGTCATCGTGTCCGTTTTTGTCGACGCCGACATGGTACGGCGCCCGCCCGAGTCATCGACTCGCACTGAAGTGTCCGCGCACCAGCGCGGACTGCGAGACGCGCTGTGAAATGCCCAGCTGTCAGCGCCACCGTGGCCGCGTCGGTCGCGCCAAACTAGTTGACCGTTTTGCGCGCGAACGTGCGCGCGCTAGCACACAGCCGCAGCGATGCGCCTGGCAGCGCCAAACAGATATCGCAATCGCCGCCGCAAGGGTTTTGCAAACCAAGTTATATATTGATATATATATATATACATATATATATACATACACATATATATATATATGTACACATATACACGCATGTGCATATATGTGCATGTGCATCCTGGGCCCAGGGTCGATGGACCCAGATCTCCTGGTTTGTAATCTGTTGAACCATCATTTCTCCCACTATTCCACTTCTCGGGGGGCCATAATCGGGCCCGGCGGACCATCACAAACGCACCCGGGCCGAACAACTGTCCCCCTGGGAAGGGGTCGACGAGACCTCTGGGGCCGCCTCGCTGTAACAATCAGCTCGGCGGGTGCCTGGGGACGGCTTGATGTACCGACCTTGGGTCCAGGATTGGCCCTGCTAGAGGCAGCGTCGGCGTTCGATTTGGACGCCCGAAGTGGGTACAGACGAGCTCTATAGTAGGGACGGGCGGTAAGGACGCAACGGCCTTGGACGCCGAAGTTGGCACTTTTGGGGCGACGGACTGCCAAAACCCTGAAGGGCTGGCCAGTGAAAACTGCGAAGGACGGGCCGCAAAGGCAAGGACGCAAGGTTACCCTAAGGACATTCGCGCGTCCAGACTACGAGCTTTGACTGTACGGAAAGAGTGGGTACAATGCCCAATTGCGAATGTTGTTCAAAACCTACAACGGCCGCTGTTGAGCAGGCGGGCGACCTTCTTTCTCAAATAACCACCGTCCGTGGCGACACCGACAGCGAGTCCTGTTCAAAATGAACAAAAACTTCTGTCGGCCTGTGTGCCCATACCTTCCGTACCCATTTCGATCGTCCTGGTTCCACATCATTGTCCGATCGGCGGCCTTGTCAGGCGGGTGGTCCCGGCAGCACGTTTCCGCCTCGGGTTGGCTGGTGGGGCCGCGGTCTGCGACCACCGCGCTGAGGTCCAGGGCTGGGACCCGAGGCGTCAAAGGCACAAGGCCCGGCGCCAGCACGGAGCCCGCCACGGCGGCGGCGGGAAGGCCCATGGCACGCACAAGGTGGGGCCAAGGAAACAGCGGCCTGAGCCTAATGCCGAATCCAAAAATGTTGACGTCTCACTCTTCCTTCCGCCGCCCTCCGACGACCCTCCACTGGCTTCCGCTGGTGGAGCTGCCGTGTTGCTTCTGCCAGGTTCCGCCGGAAGCGAGGATACGCCCAAGGTGGGACCCTTCTCTGGAACGCGGCTACTGCTCGGGTGGTCACAGATCTCCCAAACATCATGTTATAGGGATCCGCTCCTCAATGTCCGCCTCCTGCACGCATCGCCGCTCTATGCACGGCTGCTCATTTCCATTGGCAACGGGCGTTTTTTCTTCCGCAAGCATACACATGAGACGGTGTTGGCCCTGTATGTCATGCGCGTGCCGTTCGCATCACGAGCCAAGTGCAAACAGGGCGCGAAGTAGAGACATCGATGCCAATGCTGATGTATTACAGATTGTCTGGCGTTTCCAATTCCTTTGATCACCCCCCCTGGGAAGGTCGGTGGTCGCGGCGCGTCTGTGGAGGTGCAAAGGGGGGGGGTCTGGAACTCACATCCACTCCTGCTGGGGTGCCTCTTTGATGGGCCAATGTTCCACCACCGCTACCATAGGTAGGAGAGGGAGAAGAAGGAAGAGGAGGAGGAGGAGGAGGAGGCGGAGGAGGAGGAGGACCTCCCCATCCTCCCTTCTTCCCCGTCCTACTTATTGTAGTGGTGGTGGAAAATTGGCCCATCAGTCCTCACGCTTGCCACCAGCTCTTGGGCAACGAAGAACAGTTTGGAGAAGCCCCTTGCATGAAATTCATCGGGCCTTGGGCGGGTCGGCTGTCAACTCCGAGCTTGGGCTGCCTCGGAAGTCGCTCCCAATAATCCCAGCGCCAGATTTCGGCCCTCCCTGGGGTGACTGCACAAACCATCTGCGAGGACCCTGGTGCCTGATGATGCCCTCTGGATGACGACGTGCCCTTATCCCCTCTGGAACCCCTGAACCAAAACACCCTGACATTCCTTCGGGGCATGGGGGAGGTGGAGGAGGGAGGAGGAGGAGGAGAAATAGAAACCCAATATCCACCAACGATGACGCAATGAGCCTTCCATCGAAATTCCCTCTTACCATGTCCCTACAAGGGTTCATTTTCACTCAAGGAAGTGCCCCATTGGAAGACAACCGTCTGAAAGTCCCGACCTGTGCCAGAATACCATCCCTGGAACTTCAATGCCGCGAATCAAGGTTTTTGTTGCGCCCTGACGATCCTGAATCGTGTCAGAAAACCATTCCTGGCACTTCAACCAGCGAGTCAGTATAACTGTTGCGCCCTGACTGTCCTACATCAAGCTGAGACACACGTTCTCGGGCGCCAGCCATAATAATATTTAGAACAAGCGTGAACTCCGAAGACGCATGTGCACGGCGCCGAGGCGACAACAACATTCTACAAACATGCAGTTCTAAAACCGTGCAAACTCATGCGAACTTTTCCAGACGAGTTGAATCGCGCGGCGCTGAGGCGAGAACCACAATTTGAAAACCACCCGCCCTCCATCCGTGAAGCCCTTGCACACCTTTAACACGAATCGGGCGCGGCGCTAAGGCGAGAACCGCAGTTTGAAAACCGCCCGTCTTCCATTTGTGAAGTTCTTTAACACTTTTGGGACGAGCGTGCGCGGCGCTATCTGAAAATGGCCCGCCCTCCATCCGACGACAAGCTGTTGTGCATTCTCAGCCAAAGGAATCTAAATGGTGAGGAGGCCTCAGGCGAAAACGCTCGTCCCGCCATGCGGACACGCCTCGGGGAGCGACAGGGAATACTTGGACGAGTTATGGCTTCATGCTTCCGCCAGCGAAGCCGTCCTTGTTTTGTTTCCGCCGGCGTGCGGATGGGGGGGAGGGGGGAGGAGGAGGAGGAGGAGGAGGAGGAGGAGGAGGAGGAGGAGGAGGAGGAGAAGGAGGCGGAGGTGGAGGAGGAGAAGGAGAAGGAGGAGGAGGAGGCGGAGGTGGAGGAGGAGGATGGAAGGAGCTATGGGTGCGTGTTGTCGGATGGGGGTCCCCGCTCGAGCGTGAGCCTTCCCCCGGGGCCCGACAACCAGCACCCATCCTCGGCGGTGGGCGAGGAGGGAGGAGGGAGGAGGGAGGAGGGAGGAGGAAGGAGGGAGGAAGGAGGAGGGAGGAGGGAGGGAGGATGGAGGAGGGAGAGGGAGGGGAGTGAGAAGGAGGAGGCCTTCTCACAAGGCTCGGAAGTCCCCCGACCTTCTGAGAAGTTTCCCGAGCTCTCCCCGAAGAAGGCGCGAGGGCTTCTGAGCAGTCCGCCGCATTCTGAAAAGGCCACGTCCTTTTCACTTCCCCCCTCTCCCGCCGCCGACCATAGCACGTCCTCCTCCCCCCGGCCCTTCTATAATAGGAGCTCCACCACAAGAAACCTTCCACAACATGATGGACCCACGAACCCGGAAAGGGATATAGACATGTGGAGCATGGGCACGTTTTCACGATACCCAACGGGGCAACACCTCACGAAACATCCCACGAGACACCTCACGAAACATCCCACGAGACACCTCACGAAACATTCCGCGAGACACCTCACGAAACATTCCACGAGACACCCCTCGAAACATTCCACGAGACACCCCACGAAACATTCCACGACGACAGGCAACCACTCAACCAAGGCGGTGTGGTCGTGCTGGGGAGTGGTCGTGCTGGGGTGTGGTCGTGCTGGGGGGTGGTCGTGGGGGGTGGTCGTGGGGGGGGGTGGTCGTGCTGGGGGGTGGTTGTGCTGGGGCGTGGTCGTGCTGGGGCGTGGTCGTGCTGGGGCGTGGTGTGCTGGGGTGTGGTCGTGCTGTGGTGAGGTCGTGCGTGCTGGGGTGTGGTCGTGCGTGGTGGGGTGTGGTCGTGGGGGTGTGGTCGTGCTGGGGTGTGGTCGTGCTGGGGTGTGGTCGTGCTGGGGTGGGTCGTGCTGGGGGTGGTCGTGCTGGGGTGTGGTCGTGCTGGGGTGTGGTCGTGCTGGGGTGGTCGTGCTGGGGGGTGGTCGTGCTGGGGCGTGCTCGTGCTGGGGTGTGGTCGTGCTGGGGTGGTCGTGCTGGGGCGTGGTGTCGTGCTGGCGTGCTGGGGTGTGGTCGTGCTGGGGTGGGGGTGCTGGGGTGTGGTCGTGCTGGGGTGGTCCGCACCTGTGATTCATCGATCGGGTGTGCTGGGGTGTGGTCGTGGTGGGGTGTGGTCGTGCTGGGGTGTGGTCGTGCTGGGGTGTGGTCGTGCTGAGGTGTGTTCGTGCTGGGGTGTGGTCGTGCTGGGGCGTGGTCGTGCTGGGCGTGGTCGTGCTGATGTGTGGTCATGCTGAAGGTGTGGTCGTGCTGAGGTGTCCCGCACCCTGTGATTTATCGATCGGGATTTCAAAAACAAGCGTTTCGCTCGAGACATCCTCAAATTTTAATTCGCCGGCCTCCTTCGACCTCGATATTTATCAGGGAAAAAATTCGCCGGCCTCCTTCAAGTTGGCACCGGGGGACAGGTTTACCCACTAAAAGAGAACCCTGGGCCCATGCCCTTTCCGGGAAAAAACCCAACCCTGAGACCCCGACGCCCCCGCTGACTTCTGCACCCAGAGCACCCTGGAGGCCAGCAGGGTGTCTCTTGGCATTGGCTCCCACTGTGCTCGAAGTCCTGGGGCCAACACCTCTCTCCAGAGCCACCGCGGGACGCAAGTTCCATAGGCGGTGGATTTGGATACATCCTCGCCTCCTCCTCCTCCTCCTCCTCCTCAGAAATCCATGCCACGACACACCCTGCTCGCCTCCCGGGTGCCTGGGCCTCCTGGTTTTCGATGGTTCTGCAACGGAGACCGTGACGTTCCCACACGAAAAGATGGATGGACGTCCTGGGGCCTCAGGGTTGGGTTTCCTGTGGAAGGCTTCTCGCGGTCGGACCACCCCCACTGCAGGAGAGGAGACACGTGACGGGCGAAGACGCGCTGGTGGAAGCCATGCGCGCTGGCAGACCCGCTCAGGGCAGGCGGTTGTGCCGGCGAGGGAGGCGGGGAGGAGGGAGGAGCGGGCCGACGACGACGGAGGCGCGCGCGGGAGGCCAGAGCCAGCGGCCCCCGAGGGTTGTTCTGTGTGGGTGTGGGTGTGTGCTGCTCGCTCGTCAGGGGTGGCAAAGCCCTCGGCACCTCGGAGGCGAGGCCCCCGCGCGGGGGAGCCCGTCGCAGCGGGTGCGGCGGGCTCGTGCTGCGACGGCCCAGGCGCTGGGTTTTGACACGACGAGGGCGACGAGGACGACGAGCACGAGGAGGAGGAGGACGACGAATGAGGACGACGATGACGACGACGAGGACGAGGACGACGCGGAGGACGTTTGCGGACGCGGCAGGCGACTTCGCGCATCTAGAGCTTGTGCTCGTCCATCTTCTGGCGCGGTGACATGCGAACCCAGCGCGATCGCTCGGCAACACAGCTCGCTCGCCCTGCTGAGCTCGAACATGGCCAAAAGAATCGGGCACGGCTCGGCCAAGGCTGCGGACCTCGGATGGACACTGACCACGACAGGGGCGTGGTCATAGATGCCTTGCTCGTGCAGACGCTCAGGAAACGCGTGAGTCTCAGATGCGCGGTGCCACTGAATGTTGACCCACGCAGGCATGGAGGCGAACGCGTGGACAACGTGGGCGAGCTTCGCGTCGCTGTCCGAAATCATGAAGTGCGCGGGAGGGTCGTTGTCAACTGGACGGGATGACTTGCAACAGTCCGGTTGACGCGAGAGCGGCCTGGGGCAACGCCGGGAAGCAGGCGAGCGGACAGTTCGGGGGCCTGGAGGTGAAGGGCGACGCCTCTGTGCATGCTGAAAATCCGAAGGGGATAGCTTTGACTCGGTCTTGGCCCGATGCGGCCATCGCGAGATCGCACCAGACGGCGCTGTTGATGGCGGTCCTGTCCCAAGTGGAGTGGCCGAAGCCGTGATCGTTGCCGACGATGACGCTGGAGCTGGTTTCGGAGTGATCAAGAGGAGTT